ATTGGCCAGTGGCCAGGCAGGAAGTAGGTGGGACAAAGAGAGAGGAGAATTCTGGGAAACGGAAGGCTGAGGCGGAGAGACACTGCAGCCGTCGCCATGACCAGCAGCATGTGAAGATGCCGGTAAGCCACCAGCCACGTGGCAAGGTATAGATTTATGGAAATGGTTAATTTAAGATAAAAGAACAGTTAGCAAGAAGCCTGCCACGGCCATACAGTTTGTAAGCAATATAATTCTCTGTGTTTACTTGGTTGGGTCTGAGCGGCTGTGGGACTGGAGGGTGACAAAGATTTGTCCTGACTGTGGGCAAGGCAGGAAAACTCTAGCTACACACTAATGTGAAAACCATCTCACCAGGCAGAGATGAAGGTGTTGGCAGAGCTTTGATGCCTCCAGAAACGCATGGGAAGAGTTTATTCTTGTCCCTTCTACCCTCCAGTAGCTTCTGGCATTTGCTGTCATCTCTACATTTTCCTCTTCATAATTGGTCCCTAGTGTGATGTTATCCTTCCTTCTTCCAACAAGCTATACCTTCTACCAACAGTCTCTTTTAGCTGACTATTCTGATATGTTTTCCAAAAGAAAAACCATGAAAATTTTCTTTCTGTATTTGATAAATAAGATGATTTTTTTTCCAATAAAAAAGAGACAAATACACAAAGAACACAAGATACCATGTAGCTTTAGAGGTAAAAATCAAATAAACAGTAACAAATTATAAAAATGCATTTTGGCTATGAGACTGAAGAAGTAAGTAAAACAAAGGAATAATTAGAAGTCAAGTTAAGATTTTTCTAATTGCAATTATTTCAGGATGTTCATGGATATATGGTTGTGTTGGTGTATTTGTCTGTTCTTTGAATTTATCAATATGGAAACAGTAAAATCAGTATTGCAAATTATCCTATCTATATTTAATGTGTCTTTTCAAGGCATGAGATATTATAAAAGAGCACTAAATTATATTATCCTTGATTATAGTATGTTATAAATATTTGAGGGAAAATAGTATGAACTTAATTTAGATGGTATTCAGAAAACAGAACACACAGAGCTTGAACAAAATGTATAGTGGTGTGTAAGCATCTGGCAAAGAGTCAAATGCATCTTCTTGTGCATCAATTTGGTTAAATAAATTTGATAGTGCTTAAGTTGTGGTAAACTATATGATTTCCTAATAGGAGCTTTAAGATAAATAGCATAGAACTTGACATAGCAAAACAGTTTGTTAAAACAACTAGCCCAAAATGGAAGAGTCAAGCATTAATCAACTTCTATGATCATCTAGTGTACACAAGAGGTTGCGTTTTGAGAAAGTAAGGGCTCCCACTACTCCATTTTTATCAATATAAGATTATGTGGAGTGGGGGCCCTGGCTTTTGAGACAGTGAAAGCATCCTACACTTTTATACACACAGTATGAATAGATCTAAATGTGGCAAATGACTGGGTATAAATTCAGAATGCAAAAAAAATATTTTTTTCCATATACTGGTTCCTTAATTTCAAGAGAAATACTAAAAGAAGAAAGCCTCTATTTAAAAAAAAAAAAACTCACATGCTTTTATTTAAAGATTGAGTTCCGGTGTGTGTGTGTGTGTGTGTGTACGTGTGTGTACGTGTGTGTACATGACAGCCACAGCGCACGTGTGGAGGACATTCGGAAATTCTTTGGGGTTATATCAAGTGGAAAAAAGCCTGTGAGTGAGAGCGTCAAGAAGAATGAGAAAGTAAAACCTTCGGAGGGGACTGTCAAAGGGAAGAAGGGAGCAAAGGAGGTCAAGGCTAATAACTCCAGTAAAGAGGATGTCTCCAAACCAAAGCCGCACAAGAGGAAGAGGATCATCTATGACTCAGATTCAGAATCAGAGGAGACAGTGCAGGTAAAAAATGCTAAAAAGAAATCAGAAAAATCAGAAAAATTGCCACTGTCTTCTAAACCTGGTAAAATTTCTCGGAAGGATCCTGTTACTTACATTTCTGAGACAGATGAAGATGATGACTTTGTGTGTAAAAAGGCGGCCTCCAAATCCAAAGAGAATGGAGTGTCTGCAAACAGTCACCGTGGAGCATCAACCGCGAAAAAGAATGAAGAGACCACTAAGACCAAGAATAAACCTTTATCACCAATAAAGCTTACACCAACGTCAGTGCTCGATTATTTTGGAACCGAAAGTGTCCAGAGATCTGGAAAGAAGATGGTGGCAAGCAGAAGAAAAGAGTCTTCTCAAAACATGGATGACTCCAGGTTAAATGATGAGGCCATTGCCAAGCAGTTGCAGCTTGATGAAGACGCGGAGCTGGAGAGGCAGTTGCATGAAGATGAAGAGTTTGCTCGAACGTTAGCCATGTTGGATGAAGAACCCAAGACCAAAAAGGCCCGAAAGGACCCTGAAGAGGGAGAATCATTTTCACCCGTCCAAGCTGATATAAGCAAAGCAGAAAACCATAAAAGCCCTGATAAAGAGCACTTCTTAAACGAAAGGAAGCCTGGCAGTCCTGCTCAGCCCAGCAGGGGTGGGTGCTCCAGAGGGTCTGCCCAGCCCTGCAGATCGTCAGCTCGCCAGAGCGAAGCCTGTTCCTCTCCCAAGGCTAGCTCCAAGCTGGCACTTATGAAAGCAAAAGAGGAAAGGTCCTACAAAGACACAGAGCTGACGGCCTCAAAAAGGAAAGAAAACGCCATTGAACTCAAAGGAGAGAAACAAACTCCTAAGAAAACCAAAAGTTCTCCAGCTAAAAAAGAGGTAG